AGTACCTAGGCAGGTCTAAAGAATGCGCGTAAAACATACTTATGACCCTTCTTAAGTCAAAAACTTAGCAAGCTTTATGCTACGAGCCCCAGCTGTTTAACTTCTTTCTTGCAATATATTGCGCATTTCCCGATAGCTTCACACAGTTTTCAAGATGTTCTTATATATTTTGCAGATCAATTGAAAATGGTGTCACATAGACAGGTTTCCCTTTGATTTCCATTATAAAATTGTCATACTCCCATCCCTTGAACTGCATTCGAACATGTAGATGTATATCCCTATGCGAATTGGATGGTCAGTTTTAATGACAAAGACGAGAGACTGGAAAATTTATACGGGTGTGATTTTTGTAATGTATACATTAACTTTGTAATATACTCAAGTAGGCATGACTAGTTCATACGCATTCAAAACATCGTCAGGAAAGGTCAGAGAGATTCCCAATTTATCACTAAAATGGGTAGAAGAAATAATAATTACACAGAAAATATACGCACTCGCACGTCTAATTGTCAGTTTTCTAAATGATACAGATGAGAGATTGAATAAATTATACGGTGAGTTGTTTTTGTTAGAGACGTCAATGCATGTATTAACTTTGTAATATATTCAAGTAGACATGAATAGTATATACGCATTCAAAAAAATTGTCTGGAAAGTTCAGAAATGTGCAAAGTTTATCTCTTCTTCTCAGTAGTAAAAGGATGGAGGAAGAAATAATAATCTCATTAAGGTTTTGTCAAAGGTCAACATGTCCAAAAAAATATTTTTACAATAGCTCCAAAACTATGTGGTTTATAAAGTTAAAACTTTTACAGTTTATAAATATATCATTGATTAACAGATACAAAGTATCACTTGATAACAAATACTGAAAAAAAATATTTATCGAGAAAAATTCTTTAATAAAAATGCATATATTTTTTAAAAATACATCTAATTAATTCCGTACTTTTAGTGAAAGCCATAACTTAGAAACAATGTATGTTTATCAATGAAGGGCAAGTTGGACTTCGATAGCCTCCGGAAAGTTGTTTCCCCTGTTTATTTTGTCCAAATGTGAAGATTTAAAACCGAAAGTACATTGTAAATGGCGGATTTTATAGGGGTCTTGAACTTCAATTAATTATTTGTGTCTTTGTACTAAATTAATACTTTCAACTTTTGTTTCAATTTCTGTAAATCGATCATCTCACAAGTATGTGCTTCATGATCTTTTAGAACGCATGTAAAAAATAATTCAAAACATGAGAATTTTCAAAGACTTAAGTCTTTAATTTACTAACACCCAGGTTTCTGGAACTCATCCTTCCCCCTCTCCTCCCCCGAAAACCTACAGGACACTACCCTGGGCCCGCTTGGGACTCGGGTGACTCTCAGATCCCTTGTCTCACTAAAAATTTGAGCCTAGCTACTGCCTTGATCGGGCGGATAAGGCAACAGTTTACTGTAAGAGATTGAAAGTTTACATCTTGTTAGACATATTCTGTAATACATAATTTAGTCATATGTTTTAGATATGGTTAATTGTATGCAATGTTATGATTACAAGGCGCAACCTCAAAATACAAACGTTTATCTGAGTCGAACGGCAACAAATCTTTTGATATGAGAATTTGTCATACAATTATCATGTAATGATTTTACTCCTTTGATGCATACAAAATGTAAAGTTTGCAATATTTACATTATTTTAGGAGTTTTATGAAATGTTATCGTAAATTCTATATATAATGCCAAAGGAAACTAGGCCTTAAAATGACAACGGGCTGGGGTAAGAATGTTATGCTTTCTATAGATATCGGTCGTTTCCCGTAATCTATAGAAAGTTTAACTTCAGAAAAATGGCATAGACATTGGAAATGTTTAAACAGGCGGGAGAGGCAGAGAAAATTTGTCAAGATTACTTGTTTTTAAAACGTGATTGTGACGTTAACCTTTTGTTTGTGTTGTCATTTTTATAGCTCAGTGTTGAGCTAGTTCCTGACACAATCCATTTTGTTACCTGTAAGTGTTCAATCTTTTTGGAAAACTGTCCATTCTTAAAAAGAATGGCCAGTTTTTTTTCTAAAGAGAATGGACAGTTAAAACAAACAGAATGGAGAGTTTCGGGTAAATTTTGGAATGTGTCCAAGAGGTAACCAAGAACAAATACTTTAAATACGCTTAATTTACATGTAAATAAAAAAAGAACGTGGAGATCTAAGTTAATCCAGAACACAAAGTCTGCACAGCTTCCGCTCGATTTTACACTTTAAAGTCCATGAATGATGCACAATACTTCAGTACGCTTGCGGTCTACTTATTCGGAAAGTTTTAAACAGGAAATAGGCGAGCCACAAGGTAGTATTTTATCAGTCACTTTATTCAGAATAAAAATTAACAGCTTAGCATAAGTTCTTAAAATAATGATATGTATGGAAGTTTATATGTCGATTAAATTGATCTTTGTTATAAATTCAAAGATATGAATTATATTGAGCGAAAATTACAGTTTTGTCTGAATAAAATTCAAAATTAAGCTGATGTTAATGAATTTACGTTCTGTAAAAGTAAATCTGTTTCCGTGCATTTTGCTCCACACGGAAAGCCCGTGACGAACCACGTATGTGGTTCGATGGAAATCCAATAAAAATAGTTAAAGAGATAAAGTTTTTAGGTATCATCTTTGATAGTAAACTCTCTTTGGTTTCGCATATTAAAATGCTAAAAGAAGAATGTACAAAGGTTTTTGATGTTGATGTTTGCAGATACAAAAGGGGGGGGGGGATAAAAATACTCTTTAATTTAAAACTCTATCACTCTTTAGTATAATCCAAGTTAGCTTATGGCAGTATTGTGCATGGCTCTGCAAGAACTTCATACGTAAAAGCTCTTGATACAATACACCATCAAGGCCTTCGACTTTGCTCAGGAGCTTTTCGAACTTCTCCTGTAGATAGTTTATATAAGCGCAAAGTGAATGAACGGTGAACGGAAGATGGTCGGTCTATTCGGAATGTAGTTCTGACATTAGCATACCATGTTAAAGTTGTTCTTAACACTTCCAGAACAAACAAATAAATAAACAAACTATCAAATAAATAGATAAACGCTCCCACATTATCGTAAGAAAATGATACATGCACATTAAGTGCGCCAGCTAATTGTGTTTCTTACAGACTTTTCTGCACATATATTTAATGTTAAGCTGTTTAGTCACAAACAATTTATCGCTGTTAAACATTGTTGCTAATACAAAACCCTGTAGTTGACGTAGAGAAAACTACAAGGAAACGTGTTTCCACACAGAGGCGATTACATGTTAAATAATTTCTAAAAAAAATTCACAATTAAAAATATTTTTACATAGGTCTGTGGATGTGTAACATAAATACACATGTATTCTAAAATCTTCAGTCAATTATATATTTATTTGGCATTTTTAATTTTTAACGATGATTATTTGAGCAGAATTCTACTTTAGACCCCCCCCCCCTTTCCCCGTCATGACTTGTGGACAAGAGGATACAAGGAGAAATTCATATTATTTGTTTTAGATTTGAATTTCAGTTATTGATATTTTAGAACATGTACTTTGCTGCCATATTTAAATATAAACAGACAAATTATACAGAGAGAGAGAGAGATTCCGTCTTGCCTCCCCCCTCGCCATAGGCATGTACCTGTATCAAGCAAATATATTTTTTTTTATTTTTTTTTTTAATATATCAGGCAGTGAAAAAAAAAATTTATCCACAAAACAATTTGTTTGGCAATCATAATCTTTTTTTTTCTGCTTCAAGTTCACATGAAGTCCACGTGCTTGTCTTGTGAATCAATGCCATTGACTGCTGCTGTAAAAGTCTCGTCACACCCAAGGCAATGTTCTAGTGTTCCCAAGGAGTTTGAAACACTTTTTGATCGTTTCTAGATCTGATTCAAACATTGCTCAAAAATAATCAATTAATGAATAAATAAAATGCATTGGACATAAACACTTGGAATAATTAAGCTGCATGAATTTGATCCTTGCCAATTCAAATACCACCGTCGACACGTGTATTTTGGACCTTCATTGCTTAATGACTATGATAGATGCAAGAACGTTTATAAACTGAAATTCTGATGTCACAAAAAGCATCGACTTCCTTTTTAATGTGAGCTAAAATTTATTGCAAATACTGACGAAGTGGCAGATATAGGAAAGGGGGGGGGGGGCTCGTAACTAAATTAAGTGGTAAACTTATAAATAGTTACAATGATGAAGGATTTTTTCCTCTCTTACAATAGACTTTGGTTATATTTGTGAAGAAGAAAACCTTATACCCTTCCAGCTCCACCAAAAACTTGCTGTTATAATTTCTTTTAGTGCATTACAATTAAATGACTAAATTTTTAAGAGTACTATCAATGTACATCACTCCGTAGATATTTATAATTAATCCATAAAACTATCTATAATTCTCAGAAATAGTTGTAACATGTACATGCATTTCTATTGTAACTGGGAGAAAAAAAACTTGTTGGTAATGAATATCGTAGTAATTATTCAGCAGTTGGTAAATAAAGCGACCTGGGTTGTCATCTCTCTAGTATCAACGATTTGTGGTCTTTGACGTTGCAGCACCGTATCCGTACATGTATGTTGGCGTATCTTAATTTAATCCTGTAGCATCGTACTAAATGAATATTCCTTTGACAGCATTTATTTTTAAGATTAATTTAATAAATAATCAACAGTTAAGTGAAAAATAATAATAAATATTGGAGATAATTTTTTTGCAGAAAATAATGATACTTTGAACCAGAAAACCCTTACTTTACATATTTTTATAATTCCAAGTCTTCGGATGGGACATTAGATTAAAACTTCTAAAGATATTGTTGTTTTGCGATTCTTTAAAATTTTTAAAGTAAAGTTTAAATAATTATAATATATTATCGCACCAAGTCCATGAACTTTTTGATAACCCCTTGTATGTGCCTTTAAAACAATCGACGCCCTGAATAAATAATATACTCTGTCTTTATACCTGAACGGGAGTAGTACATGATGGAATATAAAAGATTGCCAGACGAAACATTTATACTTTCGGATCATTTTCATCAAACTCTTGAACCATGTTTGGAGCCTGTGTTAAATTTTTTAAGTGAGTAGCACCTTACGAAATTCTAACATACAAGTAAAATTTGATTCAAACAAATATACACAAGGGGGAAAATCATTTAAACAGTTTCAAAATTACAGCAAATGCAAAACTTACGAACGAATCTTATTAGACTCTATTCCTTCAACTTTTTAGGTTTAAATGAATATTGTGATCAACCTGTCAATATAGTGGACTTCGGGACGTGCGACGGACAAGCTATTACTCCATTCCTGAAAATTCTGATCGGTAGGGATTTTTATTTTCTTTTACTCAGTCGATTCTCAATAATTAAACAAACTTCAACAAAACGAAGTTGTAACAAATGTTATTAGTTTCCCATTTGGTATGCTAATATATTTAAGGTCTTCCGTTTCCAACGGAAGACCTTCTACTGATTGTGATGATTAAGATTATTAAGGTCTTCCGTTTCCAACGGAAGACCTTCTACTGATTGTGATGATTAAGATTATTCTTTTTTTTTTTTTTCCTAGACGCCAACTTTGACGCTTCATATCTTCCTCATTTTTAAACAGATTTTGTTCAAATTTTCAGAGCTTTTAGACTTTACAAAACACTGTCAGAATACCGTAATACAATTCGGAAATTACCTTCTGTTCACGAGTTATTCCCCTTTGATTGAATTTTGCATGCCTCCGATTTCCAGACAAAGGCTCAGAAATGGTTATAATTGGAGCACAAAACCCTTTGAAATTGAAAAGAGGAAGCATTGAAGTTGTGCACATCGGTTTTTGTTTTTTGATTTTTGCATTAAAAATGGCGCTAGAGAGGGGTCAAAAGTTAGAACGTGGAAAACAGCAAAAAATTTGACATATTTTCCTTTATAGCTTGAAAACTAGAAATATTTTGTTAAGACATGTAGAACAAAAGTTGTGCATAATTGCAAGGGCTTTCATATTATACTATTTAAAAGGGGCTGGCCCCTATGATTAGGGATCTTGGGCCCTTAAAAGTTTTTGCTTTATAACTCAAAAACGGTAAATATTTCGATCTGGATCTTGGGAACAAAATTGTTCTTTTACACCTTTTTGATCTAATGAGAATGTTGTTTTGTTCGAGTATACCATGGGTATTGCGTAATACGTATTAGAAAGCTGGCCAGGTAAACAGGTAACGTTTTTCATTCGGCAAGGAAATCAGACCTCTTCATGTGTATAACTTAAACAGACTTGCTATCAATAATATACCCTGCGGTATTTAATGTTAATTTTCTTTTTAATAAGGTTTAAAACGTGGTTTATGGTTCACTATTAAATTATTTATTACAACTAGTCTTTCTTTTCTTCTTTTTTAAATTAGATTAATAGTGTTCAAAAGCGGAGAATATTAAATCTATCTTTCTACGTTTATTATTACAACAAACTTTGTAAGTGATTTTAAACTGTATGCATTGAATAATTCACGATCATTAGCTGTATGCATATTACGGTCTCCATGTTCAGCTCGATGTTTAGTTATGTAACCCAACGCGCGAATCCCACGCCTTTGATCGAGGTCACCAGTGTACTAGCCACCTGTGGCCATAAACAAAGCTAGTATTTGTGATCGCGTATAATGTCAATTTTGTACAAAGAGCTAATAATTAATGGAAAGTTATGTTTTTAATTATATCGAATCAGTAAGATTACTTTACCGATCTTTTATAATCTTAATTCCAAACACTGGTGCATAAAAATCATTTTGAATTTTAATCGCTGTTTTTGTCTGTTCACGCAACAATACATTTACATCGAAATATTTCGAAAAAGCTGCCGTAATTAAAGTTGTTAGTTAACATCTTACTGATCTCAAGAAAACGTTATTTTGTTTGAGTCTTGTGTTCTAAATGAGCTAGAAGCATAACACATATACAGGTAAGCGTTTTCATTCAGCAAGTAAACAAGAGCTCTTCATGCGTGTAATTAAAATAAACTTACTATAAATAATAAACCTAGCTACATTAGATGCTAATATTCTTTAGAATCGGGTTCTTGAAGTGTTCTGAGCTTTATTTCTAAATTATTTACTGACAACTTTCCCTTTTATTTCGTTTGTTTTCAAATTTGGATAAACCAGTCTACTTAACAGGGAAAAAAGTTAGAAAATAAAACGAAACTTTAAACATAGACCATTCACAGCCATTAAGTACACGCCTTTTACATTCACCTTGTGTGTTTACAATTATGTAACCCCTCCCTCGATAGCGCGTGGCAAAGGAGGTCACCGGGGATCAATCGGCGTGTGATCCAGCGACCTAAGGTCATACACAAAACATACCATAGAATGGCCTTTCCAAATACATTTTGTAAACTAAGTGATGAGTGGATGAATATGTTGAATCTTTCAGATTATTTTATAATATCTTTGATTAAGTCGCTAGTACATTTCAATTTATATTTTATTCGCTGAATTACAAGAAAGTTGCATATTAATTTTATTTTTATAAACATTGTATTTCTCGATATCGAGATAATTGCGCTTTGTGAAAAATTACTTTAAAATCATTCAGAATCTTTCATATTATTTCGTCTTACTGTTTATCACTCGCTCGTTTTAATCAACTAGTCTTAACTGACTTCAAATTCAATGCATTTCAAATACCGAAAAGACCACTTTGTTTGCGTATTAAAGAAACAGTTTATTTATCTCTCTAATGTTATCATTTAACGAGTTGCTATTTCTTTCATGAACATTAAACAGCATGTATATAATTATTACGATAATTGTACGTAGAGGTCACATTTTTAATTGTCAGGAAAATCGAAAATAAATTTAAGTACTTTTGAGTTTGTATTATTTTCTTCCTAACTTACAATATTATTGCATACAAAATACTAGGTCGGACGCAAGTAACCTAAATATTTCACTTGTATTTGAAAATTCTATCGAGCGTCGAATGAATTTTACCCGTTAAAAAGTGTACAAAAAAACCTTCCTATGCAGTTTTCTTTGGGAATCAATTGTCTTAGATAGTCTACTCCGACATGTGTTGACAAAACTCACGCAATGAGAAGCCATACATTTCAAACTTGTGACCTCTTGGTCAGTGCATGTGAAGATTACGCACGACAATTAGTGTCTGGAAAACGAAGTATGTTTTATAAATGATTTGACAGGTTAAGATTTGTTCTCATTCCAAATTAAATACAAGTTTACACAATCCCGTTATTTCTTTGTTATTTTATACCGTCAGTTATATTAGAGATTGTTTTAAAACTGTGTTGTTTAGGAAGATTAACCTTATGCATTTGTTTTATTTCATCTAATGAACTGAATTTTCCCATGATACGAATTACTGGTACATGCATGTAAGTACGCGTAAATGCGGTCTTATTTGTTTATGTGGAAGAGCGCCCAAAATAAATACACTTCGAACTCTGGAATTTCCCTATTTTACTGTTTAAATCATAGGTCCGCTCAGCTGACGAGTTGTTTTAATAACGGTTATAAATTATATTCAAAAAAGTCCTGGCCAGCGATCGTTACGCTTGGTTACATTGCAATTAAACAGGTATATACTAATAAGATATTAAGATACTATCGGTATATATATTTTCACCTAATATGTTTTCATTGAGTGTTTTCATAAAAATAAATTGCTGGAGAATATCATGTTCTCCCTGATCATATCGATAGCGCGTAGAAACAGCGGTATATGAACACACGCTTTTGTGTACAACGCAAACGTGTAAATCAAAAGGATGGGGAAAAACGATGAAATAAAAACATTTCTCTATCAACTGAAATTATTATCTTTAGACAGATAAAAATAAATGAATATTCGCCTGAGAACATGTGAAAATTATACCCAAATACAATGTAACGAAGGATTTTCGGTTTAATCCGAGTACACAATAACAATGTTGTGTACATGTACATGCAGAATACCTCTTTTTTATCCTTCGCCCATGTGTTCCTCCTTAACGGAAAAAATTATCAGTAAATTATATTATACCGAACGAGGTTGAAAAATGACGAACTTTATTTCTTAAAATTAACAGCAATTATCAGACTTTTCTCATATCACTGTAAAAATGCCCTAAAAACTAAAACCGTCTGGTTTGACTTTGTCAACGCGTTTTAGATCGGGTTCGAGATTTTTATTAAATATCTGGAGTATTTCGCTTATTCTGCAAGTCTTTATAAGAAGATTAGCTTTAAAAAAAAAAGCTGAGAGTCAGCCACTGGAATACAGACAGTTTCTTTCTTGGTTTGTGATGGTATATGATTTGTTTTATCCATCATGTTGTGTTCACTAAAAGTCATTGTCGTCTAAGTTAAAATTCGCCCAGTCGTTTTCTTATCTGTAACATAATTCTGTACATAATAAATAATAAAGCATAGAATAAATTTTAGTTAAACTACATCGTGATCATTATGATGACCTCCAATTAATTTCTCGTGGGCGCGGACATCAGATAAAGTTCGTTTCAGAAATGAACAAAGCCACTATGATCCCAATCATTGAACGTGTAAGAATGTATACATTTTCATTTTCACTGTTAAATTTTATAAATAATATAGATTATGATGCTGAAAAGGAAGGTAGACCTTGGGTTAGATTGTGTTAATTATTATTAGATAAAAGTTTTTTAATCGTGCAGGTTCGAGGCAATGCATGATAGGGGAAGGGGGAGGGTGCATACTGTATGTATATTTAATTCAATTTCTAAATTTAAGCATCCATTTTAGTGTTATTAGGAAAGAAAAGAATTGCTTCCAAAATAAAGTAATAAACTGGAGATTCAAAATATTTTATACACACAGTACGTATACCCTAAATGATACTGGATTCCATCTCGCTCACTCTCTCTAATTGGGGGGGGGGGGGGGGGGGGCTGTCTATAAATCCGCGCAGTTCTACTGTGGTCAGTTTCTCACCTGTGGGCGCGTTCACGTGCACTAGCGGCACTTACATGTACATGTCTATCATCGTGTAAATTATAAGAATTTACACATCTTAAGTGATATTCTGACGTTTTCATAACTTTCATCATTAAAGTAAAGAGATTCTTTTTTTTTCACTGTCTTGGGACCTTTGTGCAAGTGGATTATTGTGTGAATTCCGACCCGTACCTGTCTTATGCCAGGTATTGATCGAGGGAGTCTTGCATCAGGCATTCAGAGGAATACACACAAATCCTTGAACTTGCAACGGCGATTGAGGGTATAAATCAAGTGTTAAATCATGTGCTCTGCATATAAACTTCTCATCTTCTATAAGAAGCACTGAAATATTTTCATAGTAT